CCACAATGGTTTGAGAAGTTGTAGGAAGGCTCTTCTAGCTCCATCTACACGGAGTTGGATTTCATCCTTATCCTGACCGTTTGGTCTTATCATAGAGCCAAGATACTTGAAAGATTCGATGGATACGACAAGCTCCCCATTAATCGAGAGGGGTTGTCGTGGTAGAAGTTTCGGTAGAAAATGTCTTCGTTTTCGACGTGTTGATCTCTAGCCCAACGGACTGGGCAAACTGATTCATACGACTGACAACAGGCTGGTTGTCCATGCTGTCTACAAGTACAGTGACATCATACGCAAACTCGGGGTCCGCAATCCATGTACCTGGTCCAAGCTACACTCCAGGGTAGTCGATGAGTGCTTGTCACATTATCCAATCTACGGTGTAATTGAATAACACCGGCGATAGGGGACCACCTCGCCTAATTTCAGTCGATTCTTCTCATTAGGTAGGGACGCGTGCCCCGGTTTCTGAATAGTATGACTTCTCAGGCATCCCGTCGGACCGTAATATGCACCATAAGGATTCCCTATCGACAGAGTCAAAAACAGCGCGGAAGTCAATGAAACATACAGTGGTAGGCCGCTGGAACTCTACGGAGAGTGAAGATTTGTTCAACACAGCCTCTTCCGCGGCGAAAACCCCAAAGATTCGGGCGAATGTGGGTGACTCTGACGACTGCGAAGCGATTAAGCAGTGTCACTGCAAACAATTTAGCCGCAATATCAATCAGGTTAATACCCCTGTAATTTTCGCATCTAGATCTGTCACTCTTTTTTGGAACCAGGACTAAAACTGAGGCCGTCCAGTCTTTGTAAAAACTTCTCTTTCCCAAATGGTATGGAAAAGAGTGCAGCGGATCGATCAGTTGGCAAGCAAGCTTGAAATAACTCTGGTGGTATCCCGTCTTCTCCAGGGGCCTTCCTGTTTTTTCAGAGAAGTGACTGCATTGATGATTTCTGATGTGCTAGGTGGGTCACAAGTGATGTCGTAAGTCTCCGAACTGCTTGACATCTGTTGAGAGCCAGCCTGGTTTGATGGTCGGTTGAGCAGCCCGTCGAAGTGCTCAACCCACATTTGAATAAGGTGCTGCGCAACAGTGGTTCCGATGTCTGCCTCTTTCCTGCTGCGACACGAATTAGACGGAACAGCTTTCCAAAGTCCGCTGTGACGGTTGCAGCCTCCATGTTGTCTGCAATCGCCTTTCGGTATTGTTTGCGATCACTCTTGGCGGAACGTGTGGCTTGGCGACGGAGAATACGAAATTCAGGAGAATTGATCAGTCGCGCATCTCTTACCTTTGCGGACAACTGCAGTGTACGCTTGGAGATCAAGTCTCTCTTGTGGCAAAGAATCTCACCTAACTGCTCCAGCGCTGCTTCCCTGATGGACGTTTTCAGTGTAGACCCCTATGCGTCGACAGTTGAGCCAGCAAACAAAGTTTCGGAAGCTGTAGCTTCCAGCAGCGCTTGCCTTCTCTCAGGTCGTTCCAAGAGCGCGACGTTGAATTTGCCCGGGAAACGAGTCTTCCGGTGAGCAGTCAGGTGGATCTTGGGTATGGTCTGAACCAGTTTCTGCGCCGCGATAGAAACGACAGTCTTCTACCGAAGAGGCCCAGCGAGCACGTACTAAAATATAATCAATCTGGTGTGCCGTTCGACCATCGTTTGAGTACTACCTGAGCAGGTGTTTTCTGGGGTACTGAAAACGAGTGTTGGCCACGACCAGTCGGTTATGGTCAGCAAATATGACTAGGCATTCGCCATTTTCGCAACGTTGACCAAGGTCGAACTTTCCCATAACATGCCGAGTATGTTCCTCTAATGAACCAGTGTGTGCATTCCAGTCTCTTGTGATAACGAGGATGGCGCGTCTCGGACTGCGGTTCACTGCTTCTTGAACTTGATTGTAGAAGTCGTCGTTGATAGGCTCTTCCGTATGTAACGTTGGAGCATATACAGCGACGACAGTCGGGTTAAACGGCTTTCCCTTGAAGCGCGCTATGGCAATCCTGGGAGAGATTGGTTCCCAGGAGATCATGGCATTGTTGGTCCGGCCGCTCACGGCGGTTGCTACCCCGTACAAACAGGAGTTGTCAGTTGGGCCGCTGTGGTATAATCGGTAGGTTGCGTTGCTGTGATACGTTGATTAGTTTTGTGCCACACTTAAGCATTCGCACTTTGGACGGACAACAGGTGTAGTCGTGCAGTGATTGCATCGTGATACACTGGCTCCCTGTGTCTAGCAACGTTCTAACATTCCAGCAGGCTACATGGATGCTGGATATGGTACATAGATGGTTTAGGTTCCCAGCTTGCTCATTTGTCACTCCAGCCGTTGGGAGAGCGCGGGGAACGCCGTAGCATGAACGTGAAGTACCACTGTAAGACGATACATAAAGAAACTTGGGAATGAGGTACTAAGTGACGTCCCCAACGTCACTCGGTTTTTGTTCGAGGGTGCATCTCTAGCCCTTGCACAACCAAGTGCGACCTGCAGGGTAACAGGGTACAATTGTTGGTAACCGGTGACCGTTAGAACGGTTCACACGCCTTTCGGATGGCTCTGCGCCAGTCCAGGATTCCCAACGTGTATATTTTACACTCTTCTGATACCAGACTGTGCCAAACAAATTGTGGTACAATAATCTTTATAAAAAGAAAAACGCTCCACGATTTGCATGTGGGCTGAATACTGCCAGGTTGCCCGGGCCAAGATAGGTGAATTTTCTTGGGGAATCCACAACCGGAGCCTTTGGTTAACCAAAGCTTGACCCGCAAGGCAGCGGGACGGTGTGTGAAAACCGAAATCCGTTGGGAGCTGGTGTCCAGTTCATCGGATCATACGCCAGTGGTCACCGGCTTAATTGGGCATCGAGGTGTATTGGGCACCTTGGACGTTTGACCCAGTCCAAAGGGTGTATGATCCAGTGAGCTGGACTCCGGCCCCCAATAGAATTCGGACTCTGAGCTTCGTCCTGTTGTCTTGCAGGTCGGCTTTCTAGCCAAAGGCTTCCGATGGGGAACCCGAGGCTCCCACCTTCTTCGGTCAGGGCAACCGGGAATTAAAGTGCTCACAACCCATGAACACATTATTCGAATTCCTTTTTGTTCGTATGTTGTGGCACATTTGCCAGTTCTATGTAATTGGTTACTTGTTGAATTAAACACCTTTCGGACGGGGTCAAACGTCGAAGGTGCCCAATACACCTCAATGCCCAATCGAGCCGATGACCATTGCCACAACCGGAAAGGCGTGGGTGTGGTTCATACGCCTCTTCTTGGTTAGTTCGGAATTAGGGTTTTAGGCCAACTCCCCTAGGTGAACTGCTGATGGTCCACCAACCCAGTTATAGCCCATGATGTCGGTTTTTCGTCCTCTCTTTATTTCGTGCCAAAACACCTCCGCCACGAGAAGACAGTGAGTAGAACTTCCTCAGCAGAGGCTATTTCATCATCATCATCATCATCATTGTACAGCGTAATAAAGTGAAACGAACTTCACTGATTGCTGCCGAACTCATAATGCATACAAGATAAGTGAGAATACGTAAGGAGGACAGAGATTGGGCCTATTTTTAGGGACGGGAAAAGAAAGCGAATCTCTATGGTCAACACAGAGTACACAGCCTAACTGTGCATATAAACTATTTCAAGCATTCTGGTCTGATAAGAAGTGACAGCATGATCGCCATTGCTGTCGGTTCGCAGCCATGACCTTCAGTGTTTCCAACCAACCAGTTGTGGAGTCTTTTGGACCCCATCCCGGAAGCCGAGAGACACCTACTCTACCTAATCGCTCTGTGTATTTCTTCATACCTCGTCTCCACGTCATCTGCTGGCCTCCACATGGTTTTCTCCAGCCTGTAACAGCCACTGCGAACAAGGCGCGCTGCGACAGGCGACCGTTGGACATACGCAAAACGTGTCCTAACCAACGGAGCCTACTGAGCTGGATTCGATGAGATAGTGAGTTCT